TTAATAATATTAATAATATTAATAATAATAATAATAATAATAGTGCTTTTAAGATTATAAATAATTCTCATTAAGCATTATTTAAACGAATTAATTCTAACTGGACATGACCATGGATGGATAGGTAATTGAGGCAAAAAGTAGATGAACCTTTGGATAGCTAGATAGATTTAAGGATATACAGAGAGCTGACAAGAAGTTGATCAAGATAGGATGATAAATGTGTAATCGGCTAGCCGGATGCAGCAACATTAGAACGGAAAGAAATACATATCTATGAGTTATATTTTAATCCTAGCCAGTAAACTAAGCGCATAATACATATTTTTAACTTTAAGTACACGAAATCAGCATCGGCCCTGAACAACAATTGTTATCCTCAAAACCCCCAGCAAAACCACAATACTAAGTTGTATGACGTCCTGCCAAACAGGAGTATGCAGCTCAAATTTCCATTGAAATCATGATTTTAATTTCCCAAAAATTCTGTTATCATAGCCAGAAGACAGATTGCTACTTGTGGGCTGGTCGCCTCGTCCCCGTACCCGTAAGTATGCAAACAAATCCTAATAAATTATCATACTACTCGTCAAATAAATGAGTATTAAATAATGCCAGGTTATATGACTCTGCGGCTGCTGCATCTACTAGTATCATGGTTGATGCTACCAAATTTTGCTCTTCACATAACCCAATAGTCACAGCTTTAAGGCAACAACCCCCGTTTTGCTTTACCATGATGCTGATTTAAGAATACCTTGCAACCAACCTTTCCTTTGAAGCGAAACGTCTAGTGATATAAAATCATTAAGGGATCTTTTTAAAACCAGCTTAATTTGAGTCAGAGTTAAAATCTGCTTGCAACAACATTTTGGTTGAGTCCGAAGATGATAAATTCTGGGCTTCCTACCTTGCTAACCTCCCTAATATAACACTATGGCCTACGGTCTGACCATCAATTCTGCGAAAGAGGGTTCACCGTTAGCAACAATTTGTGCTTAAGATAGGGGAAACTTGTTGGGTGATGATAGGCTTTGTGTGTTAGGCAGCTTGCGATCCTGTCCTTGATAAATTGAGGAAATAGCCTGATTTTTATAATAAATGGCGATTATCATCTCAAAACTGTACCTTAATTTCAACCATCTGCATTCGGACCACAGACATGCAGAACAGGAAACTAACATGTTATTCCCCCTTGCCACATGACGAGCGATCCCCTCCCAACGCAAACCATTTTGTAGGAAATATCAAATCTATAGGCAACTGTGACGACTGCAGAAGACATGCTACTAGTTGTGCCATTAGTAGTGCATCTGTGATCGCAGTCAACAGTTTACACAATTTCTCGAATGGTGCTACAAGGGCTGAAAACGATTTAATTCAGGCTGAGTTGAATTGAGTTCGCATGGAGCTTCAGAGGCATCTACCCTTTCTTCATGTGAATACTCAAAGTATGATTGGAAATGCATATCTACAGGGGAATTGGCGAAAAGCCCACCATCACAAATAAGATATGTGAAACGAGAGGCTGCCTTTTGGAAGCAATAGCTGACGCATATCTCCACCCATCCCACACATCCATGGCTACAATTCTGCTTGAAACTCCATTTGGAAGGGCCGAGACCGCTCTAGACTCTGGGTTGGGAGGCTCTTTTGGAATGCCGTATCTACCAAATCACAACCACTTGGCTTGATGTATCGTGTAGGAACTGCTTTGGGAATACTATCTTCTCTGTTTCACGGCGATTCAGAGGATCACAGTTTATCTTAAAATCTCTCCTGACACATGGAAGGAAACACTTCAACGTGCGAAGTAGGTAAGTATCCAGATTCCCTTTCAAGAAGATCGGAGGCATGGGATCACAGGTTCTGTTGTTGTTGTTGTTGTTGTGAACTTTAAGAAAACCGCAAGCCAGAAGTGATGCAGCTACAGTTTTGTGTGAAAATGAATACGAAGAAACATCTTCTTGTTGTCACTTGCTGGTGGGCAAATGAAGTACCAGCTTCGAGAATGCAGAAAGGACTCTAACAAACTCCATCCTTTACAAATTCGTTTGGTTGGCAACGCAGGGCTTGTCCAGAAATGGGCGAATTCGCCTCTCCTCTCTTCTCTTCGTGGTCGGCCCACTACAACCGACGGCTTGAGGCCGATGAGGCCGACTGGGAGACGTGAGAGGACGGGAGAAATTAATAGAAGGAGTAGTTGTAACTACAGCTTCGAGAAAGAAACACCCGCAAGAGGGGCAGATACCGGCAAAACCGTAGAAATTAAGAGGAAAATAATATAATTTATGGTATAAACGTGTATCAGACACTACATCACTATCCTAGACCTCTACGCACACAAGCACTCACTCACACACACACACACACACACACATGCATATACACACAAAATCATTGGTCATTAAGAAGACAGGTAGATGTGCACACACTTTCACATAACTGTATGTATGGCCGCAATTTGTTTGTCTCCCCTTTCGCCTCAGTACCAGTGTTTTAATTTCCACTCTCCTTACGAGGTGCACGACGGAACAGACCAGTTTTTCATTACATTTTTTAACTGTGCAATTAGGCTCCAGCTTCTCCACAGCCGGACAGCTTTCCTCGAGTCTAATGCTCCTCAAAGTCTCGTCGTGCTTTACGTCCTGATGCCGAGTGTGTATGGGACGGTAGTGCGGCGTGAATGGAAGGGTGGTGATAGCAGATTGAGTGTGGAGCATATCCTGTCTACAGCAGCTATACACAGATACAAGCATAAAAACATGTACAGACACAGACATAGACACATACAGAAAGACAGGCTCATCCCAGGCCGATTTCGGCCGGGTCCTTGAAGCATCCTACACTCCCCATTCATGAAAGTAATGAATGTTCCCTACTGCACACCCCATGATATCCTGCGTTCTGTACTGGATGCGAGCCTGAATACCAAAATGCAAAGATGGACACTTTACTTGGCTAACACACAGGATGGTCTCTCACAGACGGTGGGCCAAATGACGTCCACTTTGCTACAGTGATTTTTTGGCGCCATTCAACGCTCAACTCAGACCGTGGAAATTAAGTGTGCATGAAATTGCATGACAATCATTTCATGGGAAATGCATTCTCCTACGAGGGCATATTTCTTCGTCCCATAGCCAATTTGAAAGAGGACATACAAGCAAATCACTATCGTAGGCGTTTGTATGCTTATGGGGTTTATCTATCTATAGTTCTATCCGATCATACTTTTCTCGGAATTGTCTCTTGCTGTCAAATGTTCACAAATCTGCTTTTATCTCCTGTCCTCAGAGCAGCAATTAAAGTCCACTACATTTATGCCTTTATAAAGAGCCTTCTATTGTGTTTGTGCAAGTAACAAATACTTTTCATTCACATATTAAAAATTATAATTTGCTTCAGTTTATTTCGAGTCATTTTTTGAACAAAACAAAGAATCGCGCTGCTTCGAGAAAGGCTTCTTTCAGTCATCTTTCAAATTTGACTGATGAGTCAAATCAGGGTTGCTGTTTGCTGGAACGATTGTGACTCTACCTTCTTTTTACACAAGCTA